ACATATGCTGGCGGCGGCTCATCGGAAAGAAAACCAACCTTGAAGGCGGCTGGCACTTGCTAGCTTGCTTTGGTCAAAGATAACCCACCCCACCCCCTTTGTTGTCCCAGAAAAACGAAGCGGACCCCATGATCTTCTACTTGCATATGCTTCGGAGGGTGCATAGACCCCTTGCGCCCAGTCTAGATTTGATACCCAGTTGCTTAGTACCCTGTGTTCCCTTTGTTTTAGACCGACAGACAGGCAAAAATGGTTTGTCGTTGTTTGGAAGGGCTCCCCCTTTAGAATCAACCAGCTGCCACTGCTTGATTTCACTCTGGACTGGTGTATCTCTTATAACAAGCATGGCGGTAAATATGCGAGCCCTCGAGCTGCACTGCAACTGTCCGAGATGTCTGCGTGCTCTGCATGGGACTTTGGAACAACTTGTGAGCCGTGGGACTCTCATGGGCTCTCACGGGCCTTCAGTTGGATGCCGCTCATAGAGTTTCACGATCTCTTCCAAGGGTTTCGGAGTCGCCTTGTGCCCCGACCCGAAGAACCACCTGATTGAAGCCCTTCAAAAGATATCAATCTAGAAGACCCTCGTTTTCGAAGGGGTGAGGTTCTTGGACATTCAACTTTTTGGGAAGACAGTCTTAGTGGTAAACAAAAAGTTTGGACTTTTTGGGGGCATCTACTCAGGAAGTGAAAGTAGAACTCTGGCACCGACTGTTTGCGATTCCAATTGTTGAGGCTTCCTGGCCTTCCTGAAGCAACATACCAAGCTTGACATCCAGGACGCTGGAAATTTCTGGCCCTATTTGCCCTGACGGGATCTGATTTGACGTGACCGGCTTCGTTTGGACTTTTGGGGTCCCCAAAAAAATGGTTTGCCAGGGCCTCTGAGTTATGTGGGCGCACTATGTATGAGCCATCGGGTAGGCAAAAAGTCTCAACCATGAAAATCGCGGCAGCTGCACTTTTGAGTTCAGAGCGAGCCCTTTGTCTCCGGTTGTGACGGGGCTGTCCTCCTGACTGCAAAGTTTGGGCGGAAGTGACATCCACCCTTAATTGTCTTGGTGGCTCCCAGCCATCCCCTTAGCCTTCTAGCTTTTTAGTGTTGAGTGGTAGTTTCGATTTAACCCACTAAAAGTTTAAAGACAAAACAAAACAAAACTTTTCGCGGGGGATCAGATAACGGGCAGCCCAGTTGTGTTAAGCTCGGCCGCTGAGTTGGTTTTGACAGACCCCGATAGGGTCAAGAGATGGCAGTCAGTAGCGACGGCTGCGAGTTGAATGTCTTTCGACTTCCCTACATCCCAAACCGCAAACCGGATTGGGCAAAAGTCCAAAAGGCAGGGGCGAAATCAGTTGGTCCTTGAGATCCTCGAAAATGAACGAAAAATAATGTTTGTGAATACACTTGTTGACTTCTGGACAGCTTATCCATGCTCTTGCAACTTCGAAGTGAGCATACTCTTGGTAGGGACGTTTTACAATTGGAATCACACTTGCAACCCTGTCAGTGCTAGCTGTTGAAGCATGTTCCTTTTGGACTGCCACAAAGGGGTAGTTCCCCAAGAGGTCCCTTTATTTTCCGCCCCCGCTCCCCACTTGTCTAAGGCTGGGCTTCTAACGCATCCTTGATTGGCCTTCCGCCCCCCCCCCCCCCGTGCTCCAGGGCCCCACGGGACCATCACAATCTGGGCGAAGGGTCAGAGCACTTGAAGCTGTGTCGAAGAGTCTTGAACCGCTTTCTTCTGGGTTGATGAACATTTCTCACAAGGTGCTTAATATTTGCGTTTTTGGCCCATCTGTTTGAAGCGCTGGTTTTTTCAGCGCAGTTTTTGACTTGTCAAAAGCAAACCCGCATTGGTTGAGCTTGCAGCAGACCTGTCAAAAACAAAGCGCTCCACCCCAGGAAACAGAGTCGGATTACCTTTCGCCACCAAAAAAAAATCTGAATTGGGCCCTCAACCCCCCTGCTAGTTGCTGGTAACGTCACAGGTCGCCTGTGCGCGGTGTGCATTTTGTTTGCGGCAAAAGGAGCGATGAGTGTGTTTCGCGCACAGGCGACTCTTGCGCTTCTGACCTAGTTCCCTGCTAGTTGTTTTAAAGTTTTGACATGACATGATGTACTATAACTCGGATTGTGCATGGACCATGGCACCTGACCTTTCAGAATGTGAGCGTTTTTGAGCATCTTGGCGGTGATATGGATATAATCCTGGAGTCCTGGATCGTGGTGCTGATGGTTCAGCACTACCTCTTTGCTTTGCAAGGTATCGAGCCGCTGACTGACCTCAGCGGTTGTCAGAGTCCTTCGGTCAGAGCAGCACCCTGCTAGTGCCCTTGCTTTCCGCAGCCACAGACATGACATGCGCGCACACACACACACACACAGACACCCTCACCCAATGACCATGAAATCGGGGTTGCGCACCAAACTCCGGTATCAGTTTGGGGCACAAGGAATGTGTTACTTTGCGTATTGCTTTCGCACTCAAAAGTGGCACTTTCCACGCTCCAGCTGCCGGAGTGTGCTCGCGTACTACTTTTGCTCTCGAAAGTTGCGGTTTTCGAGCCGCGGCTGGAAAAGTGTAAATCGCGCACTACGTTCGTGCTACAAATAGCGGCTTTTAAGTCGCAGCTGGAAAGGTGTATGCTTGGCTGACTACTTTTGTACTTGACGTTGCAAGTTTCGATCCTGATCCGCTTGGTAAATTCGCAATGCGCAAAACCAGGAGCAACTGAGGGTTCATCCAGCACTTTGCAAGTTCGCTCGGAATCTCAGCGACAGCGCATCGGACCGCTCTTTGTCCGATGAGGGCTCACCGACGTAATATTCGCACGCGCGTTGATTCACACGGCGCCACAGCGAGAGCGCTTCGACACGTATTCGCACGGCGCCACGCTTCGACAAGCACGATCTCCGCTGAGGGCTTGCCACGACCAACACATATTTCTAGACAACTTGTTGTGTCCGTTTGGCACACTTATAGCGGCGGAATCCACAGGCAGATTCGCTTGTGTTTCTGTGAGGCTGGGTTAAAAACACGTTAAGGGCTCGCGAGAGGATGCGCTGCGGCTCCTCTACGTGGATTACTGCGCCTCGCAGAACATCGAAGCTCTTTACAGGCGCAAGCTGCGGGACTGGAGCTCTGGGCATGGGGAGGACTCTGCGCACCCGGGATGGTTCCTCTTCGCAGCCCTTGTCTTCCCAGGGTTGCGCAACCCAGACGCCGGTAGAAGATGACTGACGGTTGAGTGGATTGATCAAGAGTGCCGTAAAGATCCTCAGCTGGGTCCTTACATTTTCCTCAGGTCGTTTGAACACATCACCCTTCGAGGCTCTTCAAGCTGCGGCTCTTCTTGGTGTGATGGTGATCTTCACTGTTCTTGGATCAAGTTGTTGCTTTCCTTTTGTGTTTTTGGTTCTGTTCAGTTTCACACCGTCCTTGGATCAAGTCCTTGCTTTCTGTTTTTGTGTTTCTGGGTTCCGTACATATTTTTCGGTCCGGGGGCTGCAGAAAACCGAGTGATTCCTTTGCGCGTTGCAGGCGCTTCATGGCCTCGCTGGCGGCATGCGCCGGGGAGGAGAAGGCCTTGCCCCCGAAGCTGCTGCGCCCGGAAGCCCAGAAGCTCGCGAAGCGCGAGCGCGAGAAACGGGCTGGGCACCCACCTGACAGGGGGGTCCCGAAAGCGGGTTCAGGGTTGAGGGGTTTAAAAAAATGGTCTCTCAGGACCCTCCCGAACGACCAATGGAGCAACTGACAGGGGGGGTCCTTTCCAAGGAAAAGAATCTCAGGACCCCGAATGTCAGGTAAAATGGTCTCGTGGGAGGGCATTTCTTCTGACTTCGGATTCCGGAAGGATCTACTTCACTTGGAAAGGAGTCCTTTGCTCGGCATGTGCGTTGGCCCCTTTTCAGGGCCGCAACTGATTTTGGCATGGATTGGTGTTGGTCCCAATCAATGAATTAAGTGGCAGGCGGGGTGCATATTTCTGAGAGTATGTTGCCTCCCATTTGTATTGGTTCGCTTTCTTGGAGTATCCAGTGGGGGCATATTTCTCGTGGCCAAGACCCCTGTTGCTTGGCGGCTTCACATCGATGCCCGGGCGCCCTTTTTGTTGGGGTGTTTCAAAACCAGCTTCTCCATGTCCTTCAACTGCCATTTCTTGGGTGTCCTTATCAACTAGGTGTCCCAGTGCCCTTCTACCCTTTTTTCGGGGAGGGTTCCCCTACTAAAATAGACAAAAAAGAAAAACATGGTACCCTTATTCTAACCTCTCTACTGGAGGACCTAGTAAACTTCCCTTGGGCGGCTCGAGCATCACTCGGAAAACAAGTTTCGATTGAACTGGTGCCGAGCTAAGCGCGTGACCAAAGGCCTGTGCGCTACCCCCTGTCCCGCCCCATTGGATCCTTGCAGTGCGTGCTCAGATTCGTTGGAAAGCGCCTGGTGGTTTGAAGGTATGGCCGCACCTTGGGACCGTACTCTTTCCGGTCTGGTCAGCCCGAAGGAGCTTGACTCTTGGCTATAAGTTTGACCAAAACCTGAATGGAGTGGCCAACTTCAACTAGAGCCTGCAGATTGTGAAAGTTGCAGGTGTCAGTCATTGCTTGTCCGAAATATTCACTTTGCATTTGCATCTGGAATCACGTGGCAGGGACCAAATAGGAACGGCGACGGCAGTTGGCTTTGTAGCACGTGACAAGCTTTGGCGGCTTCTGGGCGGGTTGTTTCTGTCATGGCCTCCTTTTGAGTTCTCCAAGAGGCGTCGACCTCAACGTGGTTCTACGCGTTGTAGACTTGGCTGTGTGACCCAAGGGAGTCCCTCGTGCTCATCTGAGCTCGAACGAAACATATGCGAAGGTTGAAAACAGTGCTTTTATGTTTGCATCCTTCTACGGATGAAAGCCTCCGCCGGTCACTGGGGTGATTTCGGCAAGGTTGTCGAATGTCGAACCGCAGCTTGGCTCAGCCGTTCTCCCGCCCACCCGCGGTGTTCTTGCCATGATGCGGAAGGTCTACCTGGTGGGTGGCCACATCACGCCCTTCTTGGGGAAGGGCAACCCCAACTTTCAGAAGGGACTCAAGGCGGGTTGTCGTGCAACATCCGTTCCTTGTTGGTGGAAGGGCTTTCGTTTAAGATCATCTACCAAAAATGAGCCCGGTTTCTTCTTCATGGCCACTAGAGTTTCAAGACCAGTGCCAGACATCAGGCTGACTTTTGTGGATTTGCCTGGCAGCCGAGAGACCAGTGCCCTCTCCTTACGGTTCCTTTCTTGGAGTCGGAACTCGAAGAGTTCGGGGAATTATGGTAGGTCCCCCAGTGCCCTTCTCTCCCCTTTGTTGGGGGAGGGTTCCCCTACTAAAATAGACTACAGGAAAGGGTACCAGCCTCTCTACTGGAGGACCTAGTGTATATCTGACCTATCGGAACTCCATCTTTTGGGCCCCTTTGTTGCAACTGCCAGCAGGTTCCACGCATGTTTTCCGGTGTTTGTTCGGTGTTTCAAGCGATCTCGACATACAGCCTTGGGAAATGCGGGGTTGAGTGAGTGGTTTTTCCCGGCTCCCCGCCCTGCTCAAATCGGGGCTCCTGCAATCCCTGCTCCCCCAGCATCCAGGCAGGTTTGGCTTCCTCAATTTGGGTTCTCTTTTGAACATATGTCGATGTTCAAGTTCATTAGCATCTTTTGTTTTGCAGGGCAAGGGGGCAGCATCTAAAGTCGAAACATTCTGATTTGCCTGGGACTCCTTTTTCAAACAAATGCTTCGTTCCAGGGCTGAAACATCCTACCATCTGAAGTGTACGGGGCCACGCAATTCGCTGGCGCTAAGCCGTTAAGCTGTTTGACGTCTCCAGTGCCTCATGCCAATGGTGGCCCATATATGGGAGTGCATGGACCCCAAAAAGGGGGGCGTTGTGGCTTCCCAGTGTGCCCTTTGAGAGACGTCCATATCACCAAACAAAAGAAGCAAGCAAGAGGCTGGGCTGTGCGTTGGTTTCGAAGCACACTGGCCTCTTTTGAGAGGCGCCCATGTCACCCAACAAAAGAAGCAAGCAAGAGGCTGGGCTGTGTGTTGGTTTCGAAGCACACTGGCCTCTTTTGAACAGAAGAAGCAAGCAAGAGGCTGGGCTGTGTGTTGGTTTCGAAGCACACTGGCCTCTTTCGAGAGACGCCCATATCACCAAACAAAAGAAGCAAGCAACAGGCTGGGCTGTGTGTTGGTTTCGAAGCACACTGGCCTCTTTTGAGAGACGCCCATATCACCCAACAAAAGAAGCAAGCAAGAGGCTGGGCTGTGTGTTGGTTTCGAAGCACACTGGCCTCGTTTGAGAGATGCCCATATCACCAAACAAAGGAAGCAAGCAAGAGGCTGGGCTGTGCGTTGGTTTCGAAGCACACTGACCTCTTTTGAGAGACGCCCATATCACCAAACAAAAGAAGCGAGCAAGAGGCTGGGCTGTGTGTTGGTTTCGAAGCACACTGGCCTCTTTCGAGAGACGCCCATATCACCAAGCAAAAGAAGCAAGCAAGAGGCTGGGCTGCGCGTTGGTTTCGAAGCATACTGGCCTTTTTCCAGAGACGCCCATATCACCCAACGAAAGAAGGAAGCAAGCAAGACGCTGGGCTATGCGTTGGTTGGTTTCGAAGCACACTGGCCTCTTTCAAGAGACGCCCATATCACGAAACAAAAGAAGGAAGCAAGCAAGAGGCTGGGCTGTGTGTTGGTTTCGAAGCACACTGGCCTCTTTTGAGAGATGCCCATATCACGAAACAAAAGAAGGAAGCAAGCAAGAGGCTGGGCTGTGCGTTGGTTTCGAAGCACACTGGCCTCTTTTGAGAGACGCCCATATCACCAAACAAAAGAAGCAAGCAAGAGGCTGGGCTGTGTGTTGGTTTCGAAGCACACTGGCCTCGTTTGAGAGATGCCCATATCACCAAACAAAGGAAGCAAGCAAGAGGCTGGGCTGTGCGTTGGTTTCGAAGCACACTGACCTCTTTTGAGAGACGCCCATATCACGAAACAAAAGAAGGAAGCGAGCAAGAGGCTGGGCTGTGTGTTGGTTTCGAAGCACACTGGCCTCTTTCAAGAGACGCCCATATCACGAAACAAAAGAAGGAAGCAAGCAAGAGGCTGGGCTGTGTGTTGGTTTCGAAGCACACTGGCCTCTTTTGAGAGACGCCCATAGCACCAAACAAAAGAAGCAAGCAAGAGGCTGGGCTGTGTGTTGGTTTCGAAGCACACTGGCCTCTTTTGAGAGACGCCCATATCACCAAACAAAAGAAGCGAGCAAGAGGCTGGGCTGTGTGTTGGTTTCGAAGCACACTGGCCTCTTTTGAGAGACGCCCATAGCACCAAACAAAAGAAGCAAGCAAGAGGCTGGGCTGTGCGTTGGTTTCGAAGCACACTGGCCTCTTTTGAGAGACGCTCATAGCACCAAACAAAAGAAGCAAGCAAGAGGCTGGGCTGTGCGTTGGTTTCGAAGCACATTGGCCTCTTTTGAGAGATGCCCATATCACCAAACAAAAGCAAGCAAGACGCTTGGCTGTGTGTTGTTTTCGAAGCACACTGGCCTCTTTTGAACGGAAGAAGCAAGCAAGAGGCTGGGCTGTTTTTGAGAGACGCCCATATCACCAAACAAAAGAAGGAAGCAAGAGGCTGGGCTGTGTGTTGGTTTGGAAGCACACTGGCCTCTTTTGAGAGACGCCCATATCACCAAACAAAAGAAGCAAGTGGCGACCGGCTCTGGGGGCTTTCAGGCAGTCGGTTCGGATCGGATGGGGGCGGATTGTGTTTTGGAGGGCCTCCAAGAGTACATGGCGGAGTCCGTCCAGGGCGCCTTCCAAAAGAGTCTTGGAACGGATGGAACCGTTTCAGGTGAAAGAGAGACGCAAAGACAGAAGAAAACCAACAAATCAAAGACTCTAAGCACCCATCAAGAACACCGAATCTTTTGAAGGGAGACCAACGGCAAACCACCCTCAAGAAGATTCCATTTCGCCAATTCGATCTTGGCCAGGCTCAGCCCCGCAAAACTGCAAAGTTTTTAAATGGGCAATGAGGGCAAACATGCAAGAAGGGACAACAACGGCTGTTAAATCCGGCAACTTAGTTCTTTCTTTCTTTCTTTCTGTCTTCCTTCCTTTCTTTCTTTCTTTCTTTCTTTCTTTCTTTCTTTCTTTCTGAGCGGGGAGCGGGGACACCTGCAAAGCAAGCATCTCCCGCTAGCTAATGTGCTGCGAGAGGTTTCACCAACTTAAAGGAAGCCACAAATGTTTGCCAGCGATCATGTCATCTAGGTGCCCAGTGGGGTGGGGGGAACTTCTCATTTATGGTTCCCCCCACCCCCTGCCCCAGATTATCAGATTGTAAGGGGCATGGAAACACAATGGCCCCAACAGCCATACTCCCAGACTTTGACACAGAAAGCCCATCTAGGTCCCCCAGTAGTGCCCTTTTACCAACTTTTTGGGGGGAGGGTTCCCCTAAAATAGACCGCAGAAAAAAGTTGGTACCCGTATTCTAACCTCTCTACTGGAGGACCTGGTCATTCCCTGAGAAGCAGCCAGATCTCAGGACAGGGGTCAAGCCCGAGAGCGTGGACCGCGTCTATGTGGCAAACTTTGCGGGCGAGCTGCTCCGCGTGATAGTCCAAAACCCATGACAAGGGAGGGGGGGGTCGGTGTACCTCGGGATATCTCCCTAATAATAAACACCGAGCCCAAAAAGGGGGCGTGCCCCTAGTCCTAAACTGGAACTAGTCTGTGTGTTCTGCCCTCAACAACAGTTGACTCCAGCGCGTGGAAGAACCTCTGGTTGTTTTTAGGCCCTAGAAAAAGCTTTGTGCTCGAGTCTGTAACAGGCCCGCGAGAACGGATAGGATGGGAGCCAGAGTTGTGGGAACTGGGGGGTTGGATTGTAAACCTTTGCCCCTTGCGCGAAGAGTAGTGTTTGGGTTTCGGACTTCCGGCTTCCGAAAGTAGTGCCCTTGTACCCTTTTTTGGGGAGTTCCCCTACTAAAATAGACTACACAGAAACAAGGGTGGCCTTATTCTAACCTCTCTACTGGAGGACCTAGTCCAGAGTTGGCATTTCGATGACTTCTAGCTCCCCGGAACTTTCCTGGTTGCGGTCATTCCAAGACAAGGCGTTTGGCGGTGGAACTCAAAAGCGGCACCCGAGAAAAGCCGAAAGCAGACGCAGGGCTTGGCGAATGAGTCGAGAAGACAGCAGCACCAAAGTAGAAGGCAAGCAGGGGAGTATTTAAAAGCACTCTCTCTGAGAGGTTCAGGACCAAATGGTTTACACATGTGGCCGTGGGTCAACACCAATGGTACCATTTTGGGGTAGGTGAATTCAGAACCTATTTTGGTGGGGATTGGTTGATGTTTACTGGGACGATTTGGGTTTTGACCCATAGCCATGTGTTTCCCACGCCTGGCTCACTCCGGGCTCCGCTTAGGTTATTCAACAGCCAGGGCCACTTGGGTGCCGCGATCGCGGCGGCCAACCCCGCGCTGCTTTACAAGCCTTCCATGCGGGTGGAGGCGAAGCGGCGAAGCGGCGCCAAGCGTTTCAACTTAGACCCTTAGGTGGGTTATTTGTAGAGCCTGAAGTACAAGAAGGCCCTCCCCCTAGACAATGCCAAGGATCAAAAGTTGTGGGATTCAATCCAGAGCTTGGTGTTGCCTTGACATCTCTGGTATTGCCAGTCTATTTGGGATTACTATAGTTAGTTTCCAGGTCAAAGGTCTAAGCCAAAGCACGGAGAATTAGAAGGATTGGGCCTCATGTCTGGGTTCCCCACTCAAAAAAGAAGATATTGAGGAGAGCCCCCGAACAGCGCCATTCAAGTGGACCTGAGGCTCTAGTGGGCACCCCCCCCTTTGGGTGAGGGGTTCCCCTCTGGCTTTGGCAAGATTGAGGGTTGTTTAAAACCAATGATCCAGATCTGAGGTCTTGGGATTTGAGTTGGGAAAGGACGAAGCCCAAAAGCCCTCACCACAAGATACAAAAAGACATGAAAGCCGAAATGGGCTCTGATGCGTCTCCTCCGGTGGGAAGCGCTTTCTATGATACCGGAGCTCAAAACAGTCACAGATCCTGCTGAAGGCGAAAACAGATCGAGAATATTCGAGAATAGTGCTCTGAGAATAAGCAGGCTTTTCAAATAGAGTGTAACCATGATATAACCAAAGGTGGGGCGCCCTTTGCTGACGAGCAGCCACCTGTCGGTCATTCTAGTTAGGCCTCCCGTCAATGGGCGTTCATGAACTTGTTGGTTCAGCTTTGGGTTCCCTACAAAGGCCGCCTTTGTGCTGCTAGTTTCGCCTGTTGTGACGGATCCTACGAATACCCTCGACTGATTTGGCGTGTCCTAAACGTTTAAAGCCTAAAGATGTTGTCAACCTCCAAGCTTTGTGGATGGGTCTTTGGGTGGGCTTGTTCGCCAAGCAAACCATCAATGGAACCCCTGTTCAGTATGGTTGTTTATTCAGCATGCGATCTGTCGGGCACCTGATTCTGTACACTGTGCACCTTTCGACTGCTGTGCAAACATCAACTGAGCTTCGCTTTGGGATCCTCGGCCCCCCATTGAAGGCCATATTGGCTATGAATTTCAAGAAGGGGCCCTTTGGTGGACATCGTTTAGGTCGGGATTCATGTCCACCAATCACTTCTGAGGTGGTTCCCTATTGAAAATCATGGACAAATTGCCTGTGGGTCAAAACCAATGGGATCCCATTTTCGGGTAGGTGAATGCACCACCCATTTTAGAGCCTATTTTAGTGGGGATTGGGATGCTCACTGGGGGTACGATCTGGATTTTGAGCCATGGCCATATGGATGAAACATATTCCACCGGTTGAACATTTGGAAGAGGTCAACCGGTCCCCGAATTGGTGGACGCCTCTCTCCTCGCGGAGGCGGCGTGCGCCTCCGGCGGGATGGCCTGCGCAGAGGCCTTTCGCGCCATCCGAGCGGGGGACGACTGCGTGATGGCGGCGCCTCGGCTTCGTTTCGGGAGGTCTGCAGTTTCAGTGGACAGCACCAGCACCCTGCGGCTTGCCACCATTAAATGGGGGTTCAGAGAAACCGCCAGTGTTTACCTAAGGATTGTCATCAGCCAAATTGGGTCCTTGCCATTCTTTTACTGGGGGTTGCACCCTAGGGAGCAGGGTCCCGCACCTCCAAAGGCTGCACCGGTCAATGTCCCAACGTTTGGAGGGGAATCCAGTGACCCCAGTCAACTGCTCAGTGGCACCCTTCAAGCTGGCCCAAAAAGCGGTTGAATTATTTTGCACCAGGATTGCTCTTTGGTTGTCCTTCAGTCATGTATGTGTCTGGGCAAATTGGAATGAAGTCACCGGGGGGTACTCTTGGTTTGCTGCTTGCTTTTTCTGGGTCACTTCTGATTGTGAGCCCAATTGGCAGAAGACTGCCAGGCAACGAGCTGCTTCTGAACTTGTGGCCCTTTCAGGTTGTCAACTTCCCGTGGGTCAACATTCATGGGATCCCATTTTGGTTGGTAGGTGAATTCACCCCTGTTGGAACCTATTTTAGAGGTTGGACTGAATCGGATGCTCACTGGGGGTACGATTTGGGTTTTGACCCTCGTGGCAGGGTTTCGGGTCTGGCGCAGTCAGCTAGCGCACTTGAAGTCACTTAGGTGGGCGTGGAGGTCCAGACCGAGGCGGACGCACGCACAGGCGACCTGCCGGGGGGCTGCGGTTGGCGACCTGCCGGTTGGCAGGAAATCGTTATGGCGACAGGCTGCACCAGGGACAACCAGGAGTCGCTTCACTCCTAGAGTGGGCTGCGGTGTAGCAATACTAGGTCCACCAGTATTGCCCTTTCTCACCCTTTTTTGGTTGGGAGGGTTCCTAAAATAGACTACCGAAAATGTTTGCTACCCTTATTCTATCCTCTCAAATCTGGAGGATCTAGAATAGAAGCCAACTTCAGCCTGCGGTCTTTTTTGTGCCAAAGATCCATCCACCCGGTTCAGGCGGCACCTACCTGGCCCGGGCGGCAGATTTCAAGCGCCAGGCCCGGCAACGGCAAGTTGGAGGGTGTCTTTTTTATGCGCGAGATACAACTAGGTCCCCCAGCTACATGCCCTTCTCTCCCCCTTTTGTGGTTGGGGGAGGGGTCCCCTACTAAAATAGACAGAAAAAGGTTGGTACCCTGATTCTAACCTCTCTACTGGAGGACCTAGACAAGGGCCATCAGAAAGATCAGCAATGGATCTATCCGGGCCGGATGAATTCGTCGCGCGTGCCCCCTTTTGAGTGGGAAAATTTGATAATCCACTCAGGAAGAGAGTATTCCCGCGTTTCCATCAAGTTGGCTTTGTTGCAGTTGGTTTCTTCTCATGAGCGCTCACCAGCGTTTGCCAGAAATGTATGGCGACCTCAGACCTCACTGACTGTGGTGTGTGCGTGTGTGTGTGCTACCAGTGTTCTAGGGGTTGATTCCCCATTTTGTCAACCATCGTTCTTTTTAGAAACCAGCTGTTTCCCCGGGGGTTCTGATGGTTTTCTGGAACGAAGGATCCCTGGAAAGAATGAGGAGTCTCCCCTGGAATTATAGCTTTCGCGCGTGGGCTCATGGTACTGGTTCGTACGACCATTCAACACAAAGAAGACAGGGAAACACATTCCCACCCCCCTACAATTGGAATTGGGGCGTGGGGGGAACCGCTCATTTATGGTTCCATGCATGTTGTTTACGGGAAGACTAGAACAATGGAATTGGGGACCCCCCACCCCCTGCCCCAGATAATCAGATTGTAGGGAGCATGGAAACACAATGGCCCCAAAACATCATACTCCCAGACTTTGACATAGAAAGCACATCTAGGTCCCCCAATAGTACCCTTTTACCAACTTTTTGGAGGAGGGTTCCCCTACCAAAATAGACTACAGAAAAAGATAGGGTACCCTTATTCTAACCTCTCTACTGGAGGAACTGGGGGGGTTTTAGTCGTTGTTTCCATTTACTGGGGTGCCATTTTGGGTACCTACTAGTTGACCCACCGCCAACGTGGAGCTCAGGCGGGCATCGACGACTTCACCTTCCCGGCGCTCTTCGCGCGACGCGCGAAGGCGTATCTCCAGAAGTACCCGGAGGTGAAGTTAGAGGACGCAGAAAACACCAGACCCGCGCGTTGGTCCAAGTTATATATATATATATGGCTGCGAGTCAATTTGTAAGGTCCGGAACAGGGTCCGGAACCCACATGCGATCCAGACCTCCGTTCCAGACCTCCGTTCCAGACCTTGCCTAGAAACATGTTCCAGAGCTTCCGTTCCAGACCTTGTTTATGTATATTTATTTCTAGAGTATTGATTCAGATGGTCGTTCTTTGTCGGGTGTGCAAGTGCAATGGCCAAGGCTGAAATGGCGTGGAGCAAGAAAGAAGGAGCAAAGGAGCAAGAAAGAAGGAGAAAGACATGAAGAAAGGAGTATCGGTGTTCCGGAACGTTGGTTCGGTTCGGTGCGATGCAATTCCGCCACTTTCGATACGATACGGTAACGGTTCGACACCGTTCTCGGTTGAAACGACCATGTTTACATGCGGCTTGCTAGCATTCCAAAGTGCAAGCCACTCGCGTAACCGTTCCAGACCCCGTTCCAGACCCGTTCCAGACGTGTTCCAGACGCAGCGGAGCAATTTGCCACCAAGTCCACATGCACACACACGCGCCATGTAAGTAGCTGCGCTTCTTACGTGGCCCGCCACCCAAGAAGCCTTCAAGGACGACATGTGCCAGGGCTTTGGAGACAAAGAAGTCTTTGAAGGATACCCTGCATCGGCTTGCGCATCGGTGGACATCGGCTTACGCCTCCCAGCCTTGTGCATCGGCTGGCGCGCGTGGCGGGCGTGACTACAGCGCATCGGTGTCCCAATGACGCGAGGGTGGCAACGATGGCGGCGCGCCCCTAGTCGTTTCATCCATCCATCTACCCATCCATCCATTCATCCATCCACCTATCCATCTTACTCTAAATGAACGTGTGCTTGAGGACTCCACGCATGTCCTCCCAGCGGTCCGGAACAAGCGACCTTGCGTAACTGACTCGTTCCAGACGTCCGCGTCACCGCGGAACGTTCCACACCAGAATATTGACCTACACCCATATATATTTTAACAAAGAAAGAATAAAGTCAGAAAGAAGTTGATACAGTACCCAGCCATTTACGACATGGAATGGGATGGTTTCCATTCCCAATCCACTACTTTGGTTGGTTGATACCCACTTCCGACATGGACTGGGATGGCTTCCATTACCTGCAATTCACTCCCCTGAGAGGCTGAGGGAATCAGCCCTGTTTCGCCTGAAATTTGTCGTCGGGACGAGACTTTGCGAGTGGAACCTGTGAGCCCTTGGGTTGCCATACGTTGCTGTGGGGAGGCGTGAAAGGTCCGTGAAATACTCTCCCAAGCAGTTGACGTATGTCAGCGACCCCCACAAACCACCCTTCAGACCCCGGAACCGCGAAAGCCTTCGACCGAGTCCCATTTCCCCTGAAGCTAAACCCCTAACTTTTGGGGGGAGGTCTTTGTCAGGTGGTGTCCTCGAAAAAGCCGCTTGGAAAGAAAGTCTCACGGCAATGCACAAAATGCCCATGGACCATGTTTCCCTTGTTGTAGCACTGCGAGGATTCCCACCAGGATTTCCCTTGCACCCGTGTGGTTTTTCGGTGTATCCGTTGAGTCAAAGATGTCCCGCAAGCCTTCCAGGACATTGCGCGAGTGGCCGTGAAGGCCTATGCCAATGGGAACAAGAACTCTCTAGCGCACATGCATTCAGTGGAACTGCCAGAGGAGAAGGCCGTGAAGGGCAAGGACTGACCTTCCCCAGAATTAGCTCCCCTTTTGATCTTTTGCTTTCTTGGGGTGCCTTTGTTTTCCACTAACCAGGCAAAATATATATATATATATAGTTTTTTGCTGGGGTCCAAATTCCAGCATAGCGACGAAATCCGACCAGA